TACTACTTCTTAATGCAAAAAGGTTGTTCCAACAATTTTTGGTTGATGGTTATACAATGATTGAAAGTGAGCGATTATTTTTCATACATAAGCAACAAAAAATTCTTAGATGTGAGTCTTATGAGAATCTGCATAATCACCAAGCATGTGGGAGTACAGATATTTCGAATGTTGGGTAACGTGTGATCTTACCTTCTTCATTTACTGGTGGTGCACGTTATATGATGCAAAACTATTTGGATGCCATGTCGCTATGTAAATGGTTTGGATATCCTGATTTTTTCATAACCTTTACGTGTAATCCAAAATGGCCAAAAGTTCAGAGGTTTCTTAAGGACACTACACTTAATCCAGAAGATAGACCGGATATATTATGTAGGTTATTTAAGATGAAGTTGGATGCCTTTATAAAGATTTAAGGGAAAATCAAATTTTTGGCAAGGTTCAAGCAGGTATTTAAACTTATACTTTAACTGATATATATATACACACACACACACACACACACCTTCTTTAGCTGCTAACTTCTATCCTATTTGTATATTTTTACATGCAGTGGTTTATACGATTGAATTTCAAAAAAGAGGTTTGCCTCATAGGCATATATGTCTATTTATGCATTCTGACTGCAAGCTTCCTATAGTTGAATATATTGATCCGATTATTTCTGCTGAGATTCCAAATATCGATGAAGATCCAGAATTGTATTCACTTGTCAAGGAGTTCATGATTCACGGTCCATGTGGAGCTGAAAATTTGAATTGCCCATGCATGGTGGACAGAAAGTGCTCTAAAAACTTTCCAAAGAATTTATGTAATCATACTTCAGTTGATTCAGATGGTTTTCCCTTATATAGGAGAAGAAATGATGGAAATTTTGTTGAAAAATTTGGTGTTCAGTTAGATAACAGAAATGTTGTTCCATACAACAAATATCTGTTGAAAAGACATCAGGAACACATCAATGTTGAATGGTGCAATCAAGGATCCTCTATAAAGTATTTATTTAAATATATAAACAAGGGTCCTGATAGAGCGACTGTTGCTATGGTGCAAAGCAATGATGATTATGATAACAATGATACAGTGGATGAAATCAAAGAATACTATGATTGTAGATATATATCTGCATGTGAAGCATCATGGCAGATTTTTAAATATGATGTTCATTATAGGTATCCTGCTGTGACTAGACTACCTTTTCATCTGCCTGGACAACAACAAGTTATATATGAGGCAGACGATGATATTGTAGATGTTCTTGACCGACCTTCAGTTGCTTCTTCAATGTTCATATCTTGGATGAAGTGTAACGAAACCAATAAAGAAGCACGGAAACTTACATATGTTGAATTTCCTACAAAGTTTGTTTGGAAACCTAAACTTCAAAATTGGAAGCCAAGGGAAGTTGGATATTCTATTGGTAGAATTCACTCGGTTTCACCTAAGCTTGGTGAAGCATATTTTTTAAGAATTCTTTTAAATAAAGTGAAAGGTCCAAAATCATTCAAAGAAATTCGCACGGTAAATGGTGAAATGTGTTCTTCTTTTAAGGATGCATGCTATAATCTAGGCCTTTTGGATGATGACAAAGAATACATCGAAGCAATTAAGGAAGCAAGTCTTTATGGATCTGGTTTTTATCTACGTTTTTTATTTGCTACGATGGTATTGTCCAGTAGTTTGTGTAAACCAGAGATTGTGTGGGAAAACACATGGGAATACCTATCAGATGGAATTCTTTATACTCAACAAAAGAAATTAAAGTCTCCAGGTATTATATGTTTATTACATTATTATTAAAACTATATCATATAAATTTCCAATATACAGTCAATTACATTTTACATCCCACTTAATATCTTTTTTAATATGTTATAAGTAATATAGTATTGTTCGTACAGGTTTGTCACTAAACGAAGATCAAATTAAAAACTTGACTTTGTTTGAGATAGAACAAATTTTACTCCTAAACAATTCCAGTCTGAAGGACTATAGAAGGATGCCTTACCCAGATGCTGATTTAGTTTCATCTTCAAACAATCGTTTGATAGCTGAGGAACTAGATTATGACATAACAAACTTGAAGAATGAGTTTGATCGGCTCTTCGTTTCATTAACCGACGAGCAACGCAACATTTTTCTTGATATCATGGCTATGGTTAAAAATAATAAGGGAGGTGTATTCTTTATTTATGGTTATGGTGGAACGGGTAAGACATTTCTTTGGAAGACAATTTCTGCAACAATTAGATCTCAAGGTGAGATTGTTTTAAATGTTGCTTCAAGTGGGATTGCTTCATTATTGTTGACTAGAGGTAGGACAGCACACCCTCGATTTATACTTCCCATAAATCTTACCGAGGATAGTTTTTCTATAATAAACCCAAAGAGTGATCTTGCGAGTTTAGTAAGAAAAGCCTCATTGATCATTTGGGATGAAGCACCCATGGTACACAAGCATGCATTTGAAGCTTTAGATCGAACTTTGAAGGATATATTACGATTTGTTGATCCAATAAACTCAAATATTCCATTTGGAGGGAAAGCGGTTGTTTTTGGAGGTGATTTCAGACAAATTCTACCTGTTGTTCCGGGTGGTAGTAGACAAAATATTGTTAACGCTTCATTGAGTTCTTCGTATCTATGGCAACAATGAAAAGTTCATAAATTAACAAAAAATATGAGGTTAACTGTTGGAAGGGATCCATCTGCTGTTGATCAAATAAGGGGGTTTTCAAACTGGCTTTTGGACATAGGAGAAGGTAATCTTGGTGGTCCAAATGATGGTGAAACAATTGTTGATATTCCAGAAGATATTCTCATTAATGTTCCATGTGATCCTATTGGTTCATTAATCAATTTTGTATATCCTTCGATTCTTGTAAACTTCAACATTGCGGGTTATTTTCAAGAAAGAGAAATACTTGCTCCCAAGAATGAAGTTGTCCAAGAAATAAATGATCGGTTGCTAAAATTGATTCCTGGAGAGCAAAAAGAATATTTAAGTTCAGATAGCCTCTGTCAATCTGAGTTTGTTCATGATCAGTTTGATGTAAACTTATACTCACCTGATGTTTTAAATGGTCTTAGAGTCTCAGGTCTGCCAAATCATAAACTCATTTTAAAAGTCGGTGTTCCAGTTATGTTGTTGAGAAACATTGATCAGAAAAATGGCTTATGCAATGACACTAGACTACAGATCAAATCTTTGGGCAAACGTGTTATTGAGGCAGTTATCATATCTGGAAGTAATATTGGAAACCGAACTTTTATTCCAAGAATGTCTTTAACTCCTACTGAAAACAAAATCCCGTTCAAATTCCAAAGAAGACAATTTCCATTGGTTGTATGTTTTGCAATGACAATTAATAAGAGCAAAGGACAATCTTTATCAAATGTTGGTTTGTTTCTCAAGGATCCTGTTTTCATACGTGGCCAATTATATGTTGCTTTATCTAGAGTTCAAAGTAGAGAGGGATTAAAATTGTTAATTTTAGATAAGGATGGTAAATTATCAAATAAAACATCCAATGTTGTGTATAAAGAAGTTTTTAGAAATTTATAAAAACTTTGTATAATTTTATTGTTTAAATAAATTTTTGTTTTTGTTTTGTTTCAATTTTAATTCAATTCTACAAAAATAATATTTTTCTAACATATCTACAAATGCAGATTGTCGATTGGATAATCAAACCACTATGCTTTCATTATTTTAACGAATCATCATTTCACTATCACATAACTAATAAAACATCTATATTTATTAATTATTAAAAAATATATTATAATTCTTCAATTATTAAGTATTATTATAAATATAATTATTTTTAATTCTCTCATCCGTGGTGTCCACGGATTATAACCTAGTTATCATATAATTCAAAATAACCAATACATTATATCAATTTAGTATATACAAATTATTATATCAAATTTAACAACAACGTTATTGTTATATTTAAAAAACATATATTTTTAAAGACTTCAACTATATAGGTGTGTTTGCGCAACGCGCGGACATTCATCTAGTTTGATAATATTAGTGGCTTAGTGCAATCTACATGCCCTAATCTTGTTCAACACCATCACACCAAACACATATAAATTAACATTCATTTTCTTCAAGATCATGTTACATTGGAACTTATTTGAGTGTTTCACATCAACTCTTCATCACAATATGCCGACATCGTTACTGCAAAAAAGGGTTGGTATCCTCTCTTTTTCTTGACTTTCGAACCAGTTTGAATGTGAGAAAGCATCATCTTGAATTACACTGAATGCATGAATTTAATATGTAGCATATAGCAAGTACTTTATATTATTAGCCGATGTATTGTATTACCCTATTACTTGTATCACTACAAGGAACGATGCCTATACCAACAGCTTTTTATATCCTTATACCAATAATATGTCGCCGGCACATGCTATACTGAAGACTTGTCGTCCGTACAAAGTCGTCGGAATAGCTCCGTTGGTAAAAGTCAAAAAAGTCGTCGGGATAGGTGTCGTCTATACAAATTCATCAATGCAAACGACTTGTAGTCTAGAAATGGGTCGTCGGATTGATTTTCAAGGGAAAAAAGGTTTTAATACAAATCAATACCGATGACTAATCGTTGGAAAAAATGATACCTTTACTGACGACACGTCGTTTGGAAAGGTTCAGACGATAAGTTGTCTGTAAAGGGTCCTAACGGTTTGAATGGCTTATACATATACCGACGACATGTCGTTGATATATGTGTTGTTTTCCACATATTTTTTATATTTACCAAACCTGTTTTTTAGACATGGAATCATTTAAGCTGCTCTCTGCATCTCCTGTTGTTTGGTTCTCCTTGGATCTTGACTTTTCTAACTTTTCTGAACAAGTAAATCAACATATATTACAAAAAGACCAAAATATCCTCGATTCCATATACACTAAAAAAACATGGAGGATTCATGTTATACCTTCAATTGCACCCAAATTGTTGATTTTAGAGGATATGGCCTCAGGCATTGATGCATCAGGATCTTTGCTTCTGCGAATTTTCAAATATTCACTTCTTTGTGATACCCCTTTTGCCCTTGGTTCAAATTCTGCCTTGGGGTTCTTTTTCCTCTTACAACAGATGATGGTGATCTACCATTACAACAAACTTCGATAAATAAATAAATCAAAGCATCCTTATCTGTTATGTGGGCAGTGGCCACCAGATTTTGGGGGTGTTCAACGGTGGTCCTCCGGTGGTGGCTTGTGGTCATCGGAAAAGAGAAATAAGTAGAAAAAAAGTCAAAAATCAAAAATCAAACATCTTACCTGATGTCGATGGTCTGAGAGAGGTTGGAAAGAGAGTGAGGTCGACGGTGGTCCTCTGATGAGACCCTAATCGGAAAACAAAAAAAGGTGGAATATTAAATATCCAAATCAAAATTAAACCTCAATAAGAGGAGAAAATTGAAATTATGGTCAAGATTTTACCTATACTGGCTCTCGAAGGTCAAGGAGGCGTCTGGTCTGCAAATAGGATTTCGAGAGAGAAGTGTAAGATTACGATGGCTGCAAATGAGGGAGACGAACCAGCCATATTAGGGTTAAAACCCTATACAGACCACAAGTCGTCGGCATACGGACTAAATATTACAACGTTGTATCGTTTTCTCATAAGTAAAAAAAATAATAAAAAATACGAACCCTATACCGACGACATGCATGTCGTCAACATAGAGTTCACACGGATCGCTATTTGTTCTACCGACGACCTATCATCGGGAAAAGTTACAGAAAAACGATATCGTTTTCAGTTACCGGAAAATGAATTATAAGAAAATTGAAAATTAAAATTTCCGTTACTTGTACCGACGACTTGTCATCGGCATACATTTCAGAAAACCACGAAAAATATATTTCGTTCCCGCCTACCCTTTTCAGATTCGGCATGGTTTTCAAGGTCAAAGAATTTTGGTCCACTCGGACCGGCGACACGTAGTCGGAATAGTTTGAGTTTTAACGACGACAATATAAATGTCGTCGGCATAGGTGGTATTTCTTGTAGTGAAATTATATTTATTTGGTTGTTCTATGCCCACGGTGTATGTCTCGCACTCTGATGGGACATAAGTGATTTGTATTTATGCATATTACATGACTCAGTTTTAATTTAGTGAGAATATCGATAATCAACATGCCTGACGTATAAAAGCTTTTGCGATCACACATATGGAACTTGCACAACTAGTAAAAAAGAATTGGAAATTATATCAATTTATTTTATTTGCCAATCTAAACATCGGATTCCGAAAGAGCATTTAATTAATGAGGCACACCCTCCAACGCTACTAGCAGCAGATGGTATCTCCAAATTTTGTCTTTCCACAGCAACCGTTCTTACAACGGCTCGAACCTGGTGCTGAACCACATGGTTTTCGTTTTGGCTTTGCTGATCCACTACTTCCACCACCACACCCGACTATATCTCCTTGCCTCGGCGAATTGCAATCTGTAGCTGCACATACCAATTCCAATTAGTTACTACGTAAACTTTCATTACTCTCAATCCATCAAGCAAAACACTGTGTGTGTTTAGTTAACAAAAGACTGTCGTTTTGACGAGTTCTATGAAACGAAGCAACTTCATGGCAGATACAGTGTATGCTCCTTTATAAATTATAATATATAATAGCAAGTTGGGAAAGCTCGTGATAAATTATAGATGGAAAATACACCAAAGAAATAATTATAGGAAACAATATCTAAAAATCATACCAAAAAAGTAGAGTTTCCGCAAACACAATTTGTATGCTTATGAAGTTATTAAAAATTTGGGTTCATCCTATTACAAGATGTCGCATGTTTAGAGGAAAACATACCTAGTTGACGAGCACGGTTGTATGGGCTTCTGGCGGTTGCTATGGTGTGAGAGGATGAGCTAATGAAGATAAGGATGATAAGAACCAAGACAAGTCCTCCCCCTTTTATGATCGAGGCCATATTTAGAAATGACGAATGAAGGTATATATTTATATATCGGTTTATAGTTATCTATTTATACTCAACATATGTCCATAATCTAAACGCGTTTGTTCAAAAGTTGACGAAAACAGGAGGAAAGGAGTATGGGAGTGGTTAGCCGCCCCCAAAATCAAATCATATGTTCTCATTCATTTTCTCGTACTTTTTATTCGGAGTTTAATTTCGTCTTTTGCTTGCAATTTGTTTGGACCTATATCTCATGTCCTGCCGTGATCTACGGCTCTACGCGCACTAATTAAATAATAGCGAATTAATTAGTTCTTAGCAATGTTTTAAAAACCGGTTTTTTAGTTGAATTGGTATGGTGATCGGTTTCCGGTTTAACCGGTTCAACCGCCGAGTGAATCGGTTTATTCTATATTTTTCATATTTTTTTTTCCCTATTTTCCTACACATAAATACATATAAAAATTATGAATTTGATGTTTACAAGTTCAAACATTAAAAATACATATAAAAATAAGTTGTAGATGAATCCAAATACATTAAAATAATACATAACCATAAATTTTAATGTTTTACATCAATCTATATAGGTCAAAAAGAAAATAAAGTATGATACCGAAACAAAATATAGTTTTTGATGAATACAAAAACATCAAAAGAATTTATAACAGTTACCGTATGTTTTTATTTAGAGAAACTAAATAGATTTGAAAAAAATTACCAAAGTTTATTATGTAAATAGTTATTTTTCATGTGTTTTTATTCGGTTAGACCAGTTCAACCAGTTTTTTCTAAAAACCAGCCGGTTCAATCCGTTTAAGAAATCAGTTTAAAACTGGTGATAGTTGAATCGCTCCCTCTCCCGATTCCTGATCCAATCGGTTCGACCGGCAGGTTCAAACCGGTTTTTAAAACATTGGTTCTTAGTTGGTATAAGGACAAAACCGGATGAAAATGGACCCTAGGGGATAGAATAGAATGTGAAAAATTAAATATCCTTGTACATTTTCTTTGTATATATATCATCCTACCTATATATGTTAATTGACAGGGTCGGTCCTAAAAAATGAAATATTTTTAAAGTTTCAAGACGAACAAGAAAAAAAGACCTTTATCTTTATTATAATTTTTTTATTTTTAAATAGAAATATATAATGAAAAAAATTGGGTTCAGTGCAACTGCACACTTTGTCCCCTCTAAGCCCCCATGTTAAATGACCACTTGTGTCATATTTAATGAAAATAATAATGTTTTAATGTATCCTTACATCTCACTATTTAAAATAAATAGAAGATATATGTAGAAAGAAATATTGGAACTGATTCATACACAATATTTTTTTTTCGTACACAAAAATTTGAGTTTTAAAGTATTATATTGTACAACTCTATAATTCATAAATTGTTGTGTATGAATCACTTCCCAAAAAATATACGAGGATGTTTAGGACCTGAGAGAACAAGATTATGAAATGACATTAATTAGAGTTGCATCGGATGGTAATATTTAATCCTCACAAAGATATTTCGATTTTGCTTCTCAGTAGAACATATATGTGAATGCGAACGCGAAATTCGGTAATGTGTGATACTTGTTCTTGGGGTTACAAAATAAGTTTTTCTATTCGAAATACTTATTGCCAAATCCAAAATATATTTTTTTTTGAAAGAAAACATATGTAACTTAAAGTTAGTCGGAAACAAGTCTTAATGGACGCATTTCAATGGTGGTTATTTTAGCAAATGACTCAAAAGTAGTCATAAAAAGGTAAAATTACAATGGTCAATTGTGTTATTATTCTTAATTTAAATATTCTTTTATGACGTAAAATATGTTAAAAACGCCCTAAAAAGTAGTATTCATAATATTAATTTGATCTTATAAAATACGTCGCTTTTATTTAATAAAATAATTTAAACAGTAATCTTTGTTGTAAAATCAAATAATTATTCAATCCGAATAAAAAGATAAGAGGCGAGAAGTAGAGAGATTAACACATTTGGATTTTCTCCCTAGCTATATGCGTGAAAACAAGTAATTTATAAGATGTGGCATATGAAGGGTTCAATTATGATCTTGATCTCAGGTTCCAAGAACAGCAGCAGGCTTATATATGATGCTTCATCTCTCTCCACGTCTTCGCTGAATGTTTATCGTCCCTCCCATCCTCTCTCACTATAAATTATTGGGACACAAATTTATTGTACGTTTGCATCCCTGAACTTTGGAATCATTCCAATTGCATACCCAAATATTGACTTTTTTCTCATTTGTCCCCTTAAATGTCATGGCCTTTAACATAAGGTCCTACATTCACTAAAATAGAAAGCTCACTCGACTTGGAAAATGTTACAACTGGAAAATGTCATGGACTTCTTTCTCATTTTTCTAATTTGTCCCCTTAAATGTCATGGACTTTTTCTCATTTGTCCCTAGGGGTGAATTTTGAAGGACCGGGGGAAAGTAAAAACCGACCTCTAATAATATTTTTCAAATATAAACAAAATATATTAATATTACGATAAGATTCAATACGTAATAGATTGTTGTTAATTATGTTAATGCCTAGGAATAAAATACAATAAACTGTTTATTTACAAATAAACAACAACAACAAAAGAAACCACTTGAATCCAACGGGTTGGCAATGGATTTGTGATGCATTAACGACAATTAGTGACAAATTTCCAACAAAAAGTTCCGTTTACTTAATTTTTTTTGGCCCCCATTAAAGACACAATCCTATGCTGTCGTACACCTCGAACCTGCTCAAGTCTGGCCATGATTATAACCAATTCCGATTGACAAATTAATGGTATAAAACATTAACCATCGATGTAAATAATACACAACATGATACATATATAATACATTGCAAGATACATCAACCTATATAGTGATTGAAGATATCAAGAAATTCTACATTGGACAATAAATATTTTTTTCGTGCAATACAAACGTTCGTAAAGTGTTGCAGTATGCAGTGTTGCATCTGCATAACCGATCCCTACTTTTATGCACTATGTTGCATGGGTTTTATCGTTTGAACCAATTCCTATCTAGAATACAAGTTGATTACTTGTTTCTCAAGTTACACAGTTATTTATGAATGTTTCATTATTATTAAAAGTTATTGGGATAACATTAGGAATTATGTGAGCGTGACTTCGACGTTAAATCCATCTTCTGAAAAGATTCTACAACGCTTCAGTAAAAGAACGAAGAAATCAAATCATGAGTGACTAAGATCTCGAGGGTTGAAAGAGAATCCGATCGGAATTAGTTAGGAATGAAGGACGAGGTCGAAATCTTTTTATAGGAAAAATTTTCGAAAAGCGTGTAGCGCCCTACATGGTGTCTTCTACTTCTACCACGTTATCAGGTGGTTGTTGGCGTTGAGACTTCTACAACTGCCATGTGGCAACATGTAACGCCCCATATTTGGTATGTTGTTCCCGTGGCATTTATTTAGAAGTTTTATAGAGG